TGGTTTTTATATTTATTCAACATCATTTACCTGTTAGTAGGATTTTATTAATACTACAGTTTTTTATTCTTATTTACTGTATGTTGCAACAATTTAAATATTTAGTATTGATGATTATATGAACATTAAAAAGAAGGTCATGTTCCCAAAAATAAATTGCTAATAATAATAAATTAACATACAAAAATGAATATATTTATTGATCACATTTATGTTTAATTGTATTCTTTATTATTTCATGAAAAATTAGAGTGTGTTAAGTTATTGAAATACTAACAATTTATATTAACATACATATACTTATAACATAATAATATACCTAGTCAAGTTTACTTTGTTGTATGTTATTATGACAGGATTTAATGGTTGGGGATGAAGCAAGTAAACTTCGTTCTATGCTAGAAATTAGTTATCCAATGCAAAATGGAATTGTTAGGTGTGTATGTGAGTGTATGTAATTTGCATGTATTATGAAATATTTAATTATTAAAATACCTAATAGAAATTGGGAAGACATGTGTCATGTATGGGACTATACATTTGGCAAGGAGAAAATGAATATTAATCCTAGGGAGTGTAAAATTTTGTTAACAGAACCACCAATGAATCCAATCACAAATAGAGAAAAAATGATTGAGGTAAAGTAAAATTGTATTTAAAAATCATTTCTAGTATTTTTAATTTCTTCAACTGTAATGAAATAATTTTAGGTAATGTTTGAAAAGTATGGTTTTGCTGGAACATACATTGCAATTCAGGCAGTACTTACATTATATGCTCAAGGATTGATTAGCGGTGTTGTAGTAGATTCCGGCGATGGAGTCACTCATATTTGCCCAGTATTTGAGGAGTATGCTTTACCTCACCTTACTCGACGACTAGATATAGCCGGTCGAGATATTACAATGTATTTAATAAAACTTCTTTTGTTACGCGGTTATGCATTTAATCATTCTGCAGATTTTGAAACAGTTAGAATGTTAAAAGAAAAATTGTGCTACATTGGGTATAATATTGAAACTGAAGAAAAATTAGCCCTTGAAACAACAGTCTTAGTTGAATCATACACTGTAAGTGCCATTCTGCAATATACAGCATACTTTGTAAACTGTAGATGCATATTTCAGCAAATAACTTGCAAATTTTCTTAGCTTCCTGATGGAAGGGTAATAAAAGTAGGTGGAGAAAGGTTTGCTGCTCCAGAAGCTTTATTTCAACCTCATTTAATAAATGTTGAAGCTCAAGGAATTGCTGAATTAGTGTTTAGTACAATTCAAGCAGCTGATATCGATATAAGAAGTGAACTATATAAACATATTGTTTTAAGTGGTGGTAGTACAATGTATCCAGGGCTTCCATCTAGACTTGAAAGAGAAATTAAACAACTTTACCTTCAAAGAGTATTAAAGAATGATACTTCAAAATTGAATGTAATTATAATACATTTTATATATTCTTTAAAACCTTGGTATGAACATACATTTGCTTACTTATTAATACCTTTCTAGAAATTTAAGATCAAAATTGAAGATTCTCCCAGGCGTAAAGATATGGTTTTCATGGGTGGTGCTGTATTAGCAGAAATAACAAAGGATCGTGAATCAGTATGGATAACAAGAGAAGAGTATGAAGAAAAAGGTCTTAGTGTACTAAAAAAATTAGGTTCTTATGAATCATAAGGAAAATAGTTACTAGAATGTAAAAAAAATATACATTTTTTTTATACCTGAAGTCATTTGAAAGTGCAAAGTTTTTATATTTTACATTCGTAATTGATTTGTACCAAATTGTTTATTTCAAGCACATACAGATAACACATATAATTGGAGAGGTATGTAATGCGGTTTTATAAGTTTAACAAAATATTGTTTTTTAATTCAGAATTAATTTTATTTAAATGCATTAACATATGATTGTATTGGATTTAAAAAGCTATTAAACATAATATAAATGGAGTTGAATTTTTTGGAGTAACTAACAACTATATTTTAGAGTATTGTATACTCCACATTTGTATGATTGCCATGTTACATATGGTATATTTATGAATAATATACATTGTACATACATTCATTATAGGTACCTTCTTTGTGTCCAATTAAAATGCAATTTAGTTTTTTTTATCAATAGACATGCATTGCAAGCAATAGTATGTCTATTGTTTTAGCTTATAATGATTTTACAAAATTAAATTCATATGTTGTATGTATAATTACACAAAATAGCAATTTGTTAATATAATGGCTAAAATTAAATAATCAAATTTGTAAAT